TTTCGGCTCTGATTTTTATCTTGAAGACATCTTGAACTCTTAACATTTTTGCTTAGTATCCCTGATGTAAATTAGCTATAGCACCCTGGTGAATTTTCCCCCGATTAAATTAGCAATACACTAAAAATATATACATAAATAAAAATATAGATAATTCTTTTAAAACGGCAGGTGAAACCCGCGTCAGAGCTAGTTACGGTATTTGACGCGAGTTTCATCTTTTTAAAATTTTTTTTACTTCATACATTCCGTACGAAATATTGAAAAAAAACCCGCAATTTATTAAATTATGGTGCGCAGCACTTCGGCCTGCATTAAAGTAATTTGGGCCGATGATTGAATTTATTAATTTGGCAGAAAATCAACTTTTTTGCCAAAAAGGAAAATTTTTAACGTCTTCGTTAGCGTTAACAGGATTTTGACAGTTTTCGTGCGGCGTCTGGGTTAAATCCCAATTCCATCAATAATCGACTCTCTTTTCATAAAATATTGGTATCATTTGTTCAAATTTCTATCATTGGAGATAAGATTCTACGCAAACTCAATTGGTGCTTTTTAAATATGTATAAACGGGATATTCATTACAGAACTATTCGATTATTTACAAACTAAAAGTCAATTACATTGAGTGATTAATTGTTTTGTGATATTTTATTTATTAACTCCAACAATAAAGCGGAAAAGATAGTTATGTGGTATGTATTCTAAATCATTTATTAAAAAGACTTTAAAAATTCAGTCAAGATTTCACGTAATTTTTTGTCAGTGGCGTCGGAGATTACTCCTTCCTTATTGATTGTGTCTAATACGTCAGGATGGTTTGACACCAGATGTGGAATGAACGTGGCTTCAAATTCTGTCACCCGTTTACTATCTATCTTGTCTAAAAATCCGTGAACACCTGCAAATATTAACGGTACTTGGTGTTCTGTAGGAATGGGTTTATATTGAGGTTGCTGTAAAAGAATCGAAAATATAGATCAACAACACAGTCAGATCTCTGTTGTCAGTAAAAATAAAATTGATAGATAATAAACCTTTAAAAGCTCAGTCAACCGTTCGCCGCGGTTCAACAAAAAACGTGTTGAAGCATCTAAATCAGAACCGAAT